ATGATTTTGCAGTTATCTCTGGTGTGAAGCAAGGCTATGTCTTAGCTCCTGCTCTGTTTAATATTTATCTTTATGCCATGATATCTTGTGGTTTTGATGCGGCTTGTGCTTACGGTGTTCGTGTGGAGCACCGTATTGATGGTGGGTTGCTGAACATCTGTCGTTTCGGTGCGAGAACCCTAGTCTGTGGGACAACTATCCGTATGTAGCTGTTTGCTGACGACTGCGTTGTTTTCACACAGCGCGGATGAGTTGCAACACATGACTGCAACCGGGGATATCTCTGCCCGCACAACACATTAACCTTGTAAACCTTCCAAACGTTTCCACTATCTGCCTGTTTTCCCCTTGTTGTGGTTTTTCTTGTTGTTAATCATGTGTTGTGGAACTGCCAATTGTATGTTAGGCAGGTGTTGCATAATAATAATACATGACTATTGATCTGGCTTTGACAACAGCCAAATTCGGACTCACCATCAACACAAGCAAAACTATGTTCTTTTTCTGCATTCGGCGGAAGTCTTATCTACAATGGTGCCGCAAATCAACATTGATGATGTAGGACAGTGAAGTTGTAGTCTTTTTACCTCAATTCAGGAACAACCTGAGGAGAAATTTCTACCTTCTTAAGTATCCCCCATATGGAATAAGTTGCCAAAAGAGATTAGATTTATTGAACATTATTGCATGTTCAAGAAAATGATATTGACTTATTTGTTAACTGACAAAGTGACATGGATCTTAAGAATTCAACTTGATGATACAAAGCTGTACTAAGATGATGGGCCAGATCTTGTATGATACCGGAGAACTTCGAATGGATACATGTTCAACCAAGGCACCAACGCAAACTTGATAATCTAGGTTGAGCTGTTACAACCGCTTCACGTGCTATTTTTTAACGCAATTTCCTATGCAGTTTTGCTCCTTTCTAACTTAATTCATACCAACACTCCTCTGATCTACAACCAAGAACAAAATTATTTACTGGTTTGGAGCCAGGAACTATCTTCGTAATCCCCTCTTCAAATTGACTTATCCTTAGTATTTGTTCCGCGATTCCGTTCAATTCATTTGTTCTGTAGTGCTAACAATTTCCCCTTCCTTTCTGGAGTTAACAGTTCAGAAACGTATACCGGATTTCAGTGATTGACGATATCGGATTTCTTATTTAACTTTTTGCCTATGGACAACTCGTGCAGTTATCAGTCTTCGGCTGTCACGCCGCACAATTTGATCGGATGATCTGATCCATCCATTTTGCGCTGTTGTAAAACATGTTGTCCGCTTATGTTTGGCATTAACGCTATAATACCTTTTAAACGCAATTTTGCGAAGAGTACTCCTTTCGACAAATTTCCTCAGGCATTTACAATTATAAAATGGAAGGGCAGAGCACGGATAGCTGATAAAGCCAAAGTGGTGGGAATAATGGAATCACGACAAACAGCAACTCAAAAGTCTTGGTCAATAAAGTCGACTAACAACACATGTGACAGAGCGCGTCTTGGTTGCTCAGTGGAACGCTAAACACATCATCCGATCACTGTAGGTTACGAAGTGATAAAAGTTGGTAAGCTAACTAGGGCCAAGGTAGAAGAAACCCTTGCAGCAAAGCCTTCTGTTTGCATACTTCCGGTTGAATTACCCTAATCGCGATCGCTTCGGCCATCCGTAAGATTTGCTTCCTAAGACCTTTAGTGTACTGTTGCTGTACTACATAAAGTACTTGGAAGGCATCAGCGGTCCTAATTCCGTGTCCACTTTTCACCAAATGTTCCAGGATAGAACTGTTGGGGCGACTGACGCCTTTCCGCAAAGTCGCTGGGCGGTGCTCCGCAATGCGTTTAGACAGACGCCTGGTTCTGTGTCCACGTACTCACACCACAGGCGCAGGCAAATTGATATAAGATTGGAACTGAACCGGAAGTCTGTCTTTAACGTCGGCCGGTAGCCGAGTGGTCTGCACGTTTGCTTTGCAACCATAAGGTCACCGGTTCGAATCCGCGTAGGGGTGGGCGTCCTCGCGGTATACTCAGCCCACGCGCGACTGGTGGTGGTCGCGCAGCAGCGAAGCGCCGTTACGGCGTACAGCTGACACATTGTTATTATTATTATTATTATTATTGTTATTATTATTATTATTACTTTAACGCTTGGGGCTATAAAGCGAGCGGTTTCCACAAGGACGTGTGGGCATGCGGCCGGGAAGATTCGAGCCACTGCACTGGAAATTCTTCTGCTCAACAGATCAAAGTCAACATCGCCTTTAAAGGGAACTGATAGGTACACGTCATTCTTAGTGACATTAGTGATCACTTCACGGCTATCGCGGCTCGCTGCATACTTTTTGACCAATGGTGTCGAGTAACCGTTGTCTTGCAGCATTTTAAGAATACGGATCTTTTCGGCCTCTAGCGTATCTTAGCTGCGAATTTTCATAGCACCAAAATACAAGCAGCGAACAAGATTACGTTTGTACCTCAAGGGTACAAAGCTAAAAAATGTGCATATTGGCCTACCCAGGTGGCCTTCCGGAATACACTTCTTTCCAATGAACCGTCATTTCTTCGGCTCAGCAACACGTTCAAGAAGGTTAGCTTACCATACTTTCCATCCCTTTTCGACTATACCTGCGGACTTGACTGCTACGCACAGCCACTCGTTGCTCAGATTACCAACGTGTTTAATACTCACGACATACTCTCGGCCTTTGGTCATCAGGCTCTGTTGTGAGGACGAGGTGTACTGCTAACCTAACGGTACCAGGCCCAGTGTGTGATGAATACCAAGGATTACAGCCTGGACACCGATGAAAAGGGCTATCAAAACAATAAGCAACCACTTAGCACTGCAGGATGATCTCGATAGAGTAAACGAGCGGGCGACCTAGCACCTGCTTCATTTCAGCGCCATCGTGTCTAAGA